GGGAGGGGCCATCACCAGGGAGGACTATACCTCCATTGCTTGGGATTGTAGGGGGGCTGTTAGGAAGGCCAAGGCAGAGATGGAATTGGGACTAGCAACCCAGATCAAGGACAAGAAGAAATCCTTTTCTAAATACATAGGGGGTAAAAAGAAGGTTCCGGGTAACATGGGGCCTCTGCAGGACAGGCTTGGAAATCTGGTGGTTGCACCAGATGACAAAGCTAACCTATTTAACAATTTCTTTGCCTCCATTTTTCTGACCAGGGACCAGGTCATCCTCCCCACTGGAATCCCCAATGGTCCATGGGGAGGTGCAGCCAGGCCCAGGCTCAGAGAGGACCTAGTCAGGGAACTTCTAGAGGGACTGGACATGTTCAAATCAGCAGGTCCTGACAATCTCCACTCCAGGGTGCTGAGAGAATTAGCAGAGGTCATTGCGGGACCCCTGGCACAGCTTTATGAGCACTCGTGGTGCTCTGGCAAGGTGCCAGAGGACTGGAAAAGGGCCAATGTGGTCCCCGTTTTCAAAAAGGGAAGGAAGGAGGACCCAGGAAATTATAGGCATTAGTTTTACCTCGGTCCTGGGGAAGCTCTTTGAGAAAATTATCCAGGTGCACATCTGCAAGTGGCAAGCAGGGGAGTGTATGTTTAGGGGCAATCAACATGGCTTCATTAGAGGCAGGTCCTGTCAGACCAACCTGGTGGCCTTCTCTGAGCAGGTCACAAAATCCTTGGACGCAGGTGTCGCGGTTGATGTAGTCTTTCTGGACTTTAGCAAGGCCTTTGACACCGTCTCTCACCCCATTCTTGTTAAAAAATTAGGAGATTGTGGTGTCGATCCCTACACAGTCAGATGGGTCACAAATTGACTGGAGGGCCGCACACAGACAGTGGTGATGGATGGGTCATTTTTGACCTGGAGGGATGTGGGCAGTGGGGTCCCCCAGGGCTCAGTCCTCAGGCTCGCACTGTTCAACATCTTCATCAGCGACTTGGACGAGGGGATGAAAATCACTTTATTCAAATTCGCAGATGACACTAAGATGTGGGGAGAAGTGGGCACGCTAGAAGGGAGGGAGAGGCTGCAACTGGGTCTGGACAGGTTACAGGGGTGGGCGGATGAGAATAAGATGGGTTTCAGTATGGACACGTGCAGGGTACTGCACCTGGGGAGGAAGAACCAGCAGCAGAACTACAGGCTGGGGAACTCCCTTCTTGTCAGTGCAGAGGCAGAGAAGGATCTTGGAGTCATTATTGATGCCAA